TATCATTGTCTTTATCAATCGTGTACCCTTCCTGATATAGTTTTTCCAATGCAGTTATCCATATCTTCCTAGCCTCTTGATCTCTTACTAGGTTCAAAAAGTTCTCCTGCTGCCATTTCACCCAACCCACTGATGATTGTATGACGTGCTTCTAAAATATCTTCTTCCACTTTCAGTTCCAGTGAACCAACTCCTAATGTGCTTGTGCGACCTCTTGGGTGACTTCATATAGGATATATGGTTCTATGAATTCTTGTGAGAACTTGGCAAGAGTGAGACCTCTGGCGTCTGGTGTCCTGTTGAGAAGCTCTTGTGCAAAAGGGAGATCCTGTAGGAAGGAAACTGCGGCTACCCCAGGGGTAGGCAAAACTAAATCATAACCCTCATGGGAAATTTCTACCAGTGCAGCGCCAATGAGCAAGTGCCCCCTCAACCCACCAATCCCACAGGTGTCAGCCATTATTGAGACTCCAGAAAGGGCCGCCTCCATAGAGTTAATATCAAGATCCCAGTCCTCTGAATTCGAACTCAATAATCTCTCTTCTATTACGACTAGTAATCCAGCCATGATAGTAGGATGTTAGTTTCAACAAAATTTTCAAAATCAGGAGAGGAGCTAAGTGAGAAGCTCACTTAATGATATACTGTAACGGCAACTCCCTTAGGTAGATGGTTCCTAAGGATATGACTATACCAAACTTTAAATCTCTCGAATACAGCTCTTGCAAAGCATAAGGAATAAAAGTAACAGTTAAACTTAATATCATTAAGCTCAGGCTTATCTCAATTACAGTCTTCTCAAGAGAATGTTGATTGTGTTGAGGTAGGAGAGTTCTTGTATAATCTTTAAGTAGTCTGACTTATACCAAAAACTTACCTATCAGGTTACCTTGAACAACATGACTTTGACCTTCTCCGTAATGGTTGCCCAGCACCATTACTATATCCCTGCGGGGCCTAAACTGTCAGGGCACTATACAAGAAATTTCCCATCTGCATATCAGTTCCTGTAAGATGTTTACCAATACACTTGCCAGAGTAAAAACTCCTGCTCTTCAGAGTCTCATTAGTGGCTAACTGTTGAGTCACCTAGGAAAGCTAACTAAATGACTCTCTTCCCATGTGCAATGATCTATGCAAGCACATGTAAATATCAGGTGTCTTCCTATTAAGTTCTATCTATCTCAATTGAAAACTTACAAGGTCTGTGATACTCCAGTCGGGAGCTGTGGCAGCAGGGGGACCCATGGGCACTACCTATAGTCCCTTACACCTGGCACACCACTCACTGTGAGAAGTATCATGCTTTTAGAGTCTTCAAACAACCTGCAAGGAGCCTATGGCAAAGGGGCGGGTGTAGGCTTAGCTGGTGTAAAACCTTTTCAGATATCTCCAGCACTACCCGAGACTACTCTGGACACCCTTCTGGAGAGCTCATGCTAACTCTGTTAGCTTTGGTCCTCTTTACTCTGTTCCTTCTAAAAAAGTTGACTGACCTTCTTGCCTTGGCCCGCTTATATATCCTGCAAACAGTTTCTGATTGGATGGACAGTGGCAACATATACAGTGTTCTGGACATGTCTTTATAGACTCCACTTAACTAGCAAGATGGCAACTCTACCTATTTTGACCCGTGATGCCTGGGGTGAACCCTGGGGCTGCAGGTACCTTTTTGGAATAATTCAGCCAAGGTACAGCATGTTTGAAACACTATAGCTTCTCCTATAGTGTTCTGATCAATGTGCAAGCAAGTGCTCATCAATTCTTATTGCATACTAAACAATCCTAATATTCCCTAAAATTCCTCCAAGAACATTTCTGAGGGAAGGCAGGGTAATAGTGTTCCAAAGGTAGGGTAAGTCTGTCCATGGTCACATGAAACTGGTCTCTATGGTATGGTAACAAGACTTTCCTAGACTGGGTAAACTTACTTGGCCTTTCAACCTCTCCTTAGCCTAGAGTAGACATAGTCACATTACTTTGGCTACTTAAGCACACCTATTCCTTAAGTACCTTCTGTTCTTCAGGGGACCTGGACCATCGGATATCCCTTGGACATGGACCAGCATGCCCATCTAGTCTACCATCTGACCTCTTGATCTTATGTATGGGCATAGATATAGGTTGCCATAGCTCTATTACATTGGGTCGTTACCATGCCTTAATACTACTATCCATTGCCTCACCTGTGGTAATGATAACCTGGCCACATCTAAGGCTTCTCCTACCTCCTGAGATGCGCACCAGACAGCTACTGTCAGGAGGAATAAGACTGCTCAGGTTTCATTACATTTGTTTCCTCTACCTGTTCGGCTTTAGGCATGGTGGAGGATTTCCATGCATCATTACCACTTGTGCCCCCTGAATAGTTGCTATTAGCATGTAAGAGATAGATTCACTGACATGTAGCATGAGGGTTACTTTATGTATGTTAGTTGCCAGTTCACAACCTGCAGGTTCCATAAGCGTAATGAGATATAATATAATAATAATAATACCTTTCTCCCATAGCCAGATTATACTACCATCATTTGGGACTATGAAAGAGCATAAGGTATATAGCAGTTGCGTGCCAGCCATGGTGTTTTTATCTTAGAGGATACCATTCTAGTAATCGTGCCAAGGTCATGGCGTCCACCACCCCTGGAAGCTCGCAAACTCGTAATCAGGGGCACTCCAAAGGAGTGCCCACCATCTCAACAATAATTTCATGCTCAACAATAATTTACTGTACATGACGCCGTCTATGCCCATACTTTCGAATCTCTATACATATAACCTTCATCAATTTCTTCTGATTGGCCCGGGCATCACTCAGCTTCTTCCGGGCATCTTTTGCTTCCTTTAAAAGTGGTTTCTGTTCCGCACTTTGGGCCTTTTGCATTGCAAGTTGAGCCCGGCGTAGGGTAATTTCGGCCTTCTGTACTTCTATCTCTTCTTTCACTTTTACCATATGTCGTACTTGATGGGCGTACAGAACCCCGCCCTTTTGAACAATCCATCGTGATCGTTGTCTTGCTGCCCGTGCCTTTTCAGCTGCCTTTGTATTTGCAAGGTCATTCACAGCCTGTTCCCCAGAGATTGCATGTATCATTCCACCTTTTAAAACAAGGTTCAGCTTTCGCTGAAATGTAGGCGATAAATCTATAGTGGCAGCCACAAGATCATCTCCCTGACGCTTCAATGAACGAACAGTAAGTGGGTTATGAGGTGCCTCTAGAGAGGCTCGGGTGGGGGTAGTTGGTGTGATTTTTGATTCTTGTGTTTCCCGTAACTTGTCAAGTACCATATCAGGATCATATGGCACAAGATCGGTGGCCTGAAAGGCTGAGCGAATCGTAGATGGTTTGAAGGTTTGTTGCCCGATGGAGTCAATTGCAGTTAGGAATTCAACCTTATCGAAGTCTGTACATCCAGTTCATGTCGCAGCCTCAATTGCTTCACTGTAAAAGTGTTTATAGGGCTGAAAAACCACTACATCGAGTGGCTGTAACAAATGGCTTGAGTGGGGAGGCAAGCAGAAAGGAACAATCTTGAAGGTATCACAGTATTCAATGAACTCCCTTGTGCAATGTGAGCCATAACCATCTAATAGAAGTAGACGATAAGCTCCTGTCTGCCGCCATGCAGAGAAATCCTCAAGGTATATAAGTCACTTCATACTTAAATTGTCATTTGAGTATCCCATATAAGAGACTGAAAGATAGTAGTTATCTGGTATATCAGTCTCTGTGTACCAGTGCTCTTGATAAATTATCCCTGAGATAATTATCATAGGCGGCAAAACATCATGGCTATCTGCGCTAATGGTTTCACATACTGTAGTGAGTTCACAGTTGGTGGAACTCCCGAGATAGGCTTGCCGGCTAGAGTTGCGCATAACTATCCACTGGTCACGTCCGATTCCTATCCGGAAGCCGGTTTCATCGAAATTATATTGATTCCCAATCTGAATACCGTATCTATCACAAACTGCCTTGTAGCTTATGAACCATTGCAGAATGCACTCTGGATCATGTGAGCTTTTACAGTTGATGTCAATCGTATACTGCTTGCAGATATGGTACTACTGATTGCGCTCAAGAAACTGCCTTGCCCAGTGCTCTCCAACCACTGGTACTGGTGCTGATATATCATCATGTGCAGACCGGAGGATCGCATTTGCACAACCAGTTATCATATGCAACCAGGCCGCCGTTCCAATAGCATCCAGGCAATCCAGATACTGGCAAACACCTTGCTCTTGCTCCTTGGAGAGCTTCCTGTTTGCTGCTGGCCTTTTTTCTTTTGACTCTCTCCCATTCCATCGGGCTCTCAATCGTTGCGGTGGAAGATCGAACTTGCGAGCAGCAGCAGCCAGGTTTGGATTTTCCTCCTTCCGGCCAATCAGTACCTCAATTGCTTCCCGAATCCGTGACTCTACTGCCTCATATGGCTCTTTCCACTCAGCCATACCTGCAGGTGGCATTGCTTGATCGTGGTGTGGTGGAAACTCGTGATTTATATATATAGCACTGGAGGGTGTTGATTATCGTTGAGCATCAAATTATCGTTGAGATGGCGGGCACTCCTTTGGAGTGCCCCTGGTTGCGAGTTTGCGAGCTTCCAGGGGTGGTGGACGCCACCACCTTGGCACGATTACACTTACAAAGCTCCAACTTCCATGGCTAGTTAGGATGATCATAAGATTGGGTTCAAGTTGTGGTGTTGAATCCCACTTTTACCCTTCCTAATTAGGAAGGTGAACAGGGGGTGTGGAAAATCGTGGAGAGGCCGCCTCTCAGTTGATCCTTTGAAAAACAACTCATTCTTGTATTTTGACTCCCCACATTGCGGTGGCAAAACGCACCCATCATTTCTCGCCACGAATTCCAAAACTTTGGCAAATAATCAATCAACACAGCTACATTTCATTCCTCGCTGTCCATCGTGACCTTCTAGACCGAACGCAGCATACTCGGGCACACTCTACCCACCCCCTTCTACAGTCACTCTTCAAAATGTCCACCTCGATCCATACCTTCTCAATAACTCCACTAACTCAATTCTCCAACCGAAATTCCCAGATCCGTCGTCCCCAGGTATCCCTTCCCCCCGTCCACTTGCCCCTTCTAGCTTCAATCTTACCCCACAGCAGGAAATCACACACTTCTCATACGACGATCACCGTCGCCTCCATCACGACCAGTCTTCGCTCAAATCCTACTACCCCCCGCCGCTGGGCAGCGATCTATCGAGTGGGTTTGAGAGCTTCCGGAAGCATGATAGTAGCATTGACGAGCATTTGGATGGTCTATTGGAAGCGATCGTTGAGTTAGAGAGGCGGAGCGGGAAGAAAGTTTCTGCCGACGTTATCACCTGGAGAGGAATGATGACTAAGGTGTGCCACCCTCTTCTCTCATGCTCTGCGAAGCCAGAGCGAATCAATGATGCGTTGTGGCTGATATTCTGATAGCTTATGACTTTGCCTTATGACATACGAGATGGGTCAGTTGTGATGCCCTGCCTCATCTCCACCATTGGCGGGTTCATCGACAGTAGGCTAATGCGCACAGCTTCGAAATGAATGCTATCAAATTCCAAGTATTTCCCCCACCACCTCCCCGCCCCCCCTTTTGTTGACAATCTCAAAATCTCTCTGGCTAGGACTCAATGTACTATCCACCCTCCATCCACCAACCATTCCCCGCTAACCGCCCCCTCCAGCTTCATCGAAGAAAACCACTCCTACCAACTAAACTCCCAAAGCGTGCCGTACCCCCGCCAAGATTTAATGACATACTGGGGTAAAATACCCCCTCCTCCCTCAACCTCCCCTGCGCTAAATTCATCTGTGTAGGCTATAAATTCGAAGAGATCTCCACTCTGCCCGGTAACCCTTCGGACTTTTCCCGCGAGACCATAGAATCGCGCGACTACAATACTGTGAATAACGAGCAACAGTTCTGCTCGATTGTTAAGACTGGTTTCGGTGGTGTGAGGTTGATTATTGGTGGAGAGGTTGACGCTGGTTTAGTTCCCTCTCCTTCTACGCCTGCCATCCGATGTATTAACAACCGAGAGCATCAGTATGGGACCAAAACCCCCCCCCGGATCCACTCAACAAACCCCCGGTTTACGTAGAGCTGAAGACCTCAAAAACCCCACGGCGTCCGCATGAACATGTCAATTTTGAGCGCAAGATGTTGCGCTTCTGGGCGCAATCGTTCTTGCTTGGGATAGCCAAGATTGTGGTCGGCTTTCGCGACAACGAAGGTATCCTCGAGGGATTGGAGGAGATTGAGACAACGAGTATTCCTGGTATCGCAAGACGTAGTGGGCGGCAGCTCTGGGACGGGAAAGTTTCCATTGACTTCACAACTACGATTCTTGAGTGGATAAAAGAGACCATCGGACGTGCTCCCGAAGGCACCCTCTGGCGCCTTGCGCATGCTCCAGGGTCTAACACTGTTGACTTATCTATACTCCCTCAAAATTCCTTCTTGTCTTCTACATTTCTAGAGTGGCGGATTATTATGTAAACTCATACCCTTTTATCCATTAGTTCTCTACTTCCTCCACCTCTACCCTGGATATCTAGTCCCTGTGGCCTAAATCGCCGACGAGGAAATTGTGTTCACGTGCGGATCTTCAGGCTCCACTCCGGGATTCAGAAATATGATATTCCAAACCATTCAAACAATGTAGCACGAAATCATGATGTCTATAGCAAATCTACCATTTTCCTCTACTCCATCCACCAGAGGAAAACCAACTTCCTAGTTTTGATTGACATCCTGCACAACGTCCTAATTTCAATGAACTCAGTTTAAAAATTCCACCACCTCTGCAACCGCTACCACCACATAAGTATCCTTTTACGCAAGCACACCAGACCTTTTTCTAAATGACAGTTCAATAGAACCATCGAATCCGGTAGGACTAATCACGTTTGCGCCAAACTCCCTTCGACATCTTTGGTGCAAAAAGCCCTACTCCGGCGTTCAGTCCTCTGCTCGCGGATGGGAGGCGAATATCTTACCAATTTGTTGCGCTGCAGAGACACTCCGACATTTTTTCAAAATGTTATTGGCCGCGGGAAACTCCACTTCAGTTCCTGGATCGATCAGCATTTGCATTCTGCCCCAATCAACATCTAACATCCTATAACCTACCAATAAGTGGCCCCGAAGAGTGGAAGAGCTAGACAATTGAAAACGTCAAATGTATTCTAAACCATCAGCAAATCTTTGGTTCCCTCTTATACCTTAGGTCTGTAGGACGGATCCTGATCCATCACAGAGCTATTGCGAAACTTTTCAACCAACTGATCAATGCCTTGAATGTCTAACTTGCCTGTCAGTTGGTCCCCTCATCTGCCCTAAAAATTTCACGAGGAGACTAACTTGCGTAGGTCACATCAAGAACCTTTTCCGAATTAAACTTGTTCCTACGCACATTAGCTAAGTGGAGTTGTGACCACATTAAGATCCACATACCACCTAGTGCCCGATTTTTCCCTGACAAACTGCCTTGCCATCAGCAGCAATGCCTTCGCCCCCAATCCAGCCAGGTTACAGTTTACATACCTCAATGATGTCGAGTGGCTAGAAATTTAGTTAGTTGCTCGCAATCCATACATCGTCACCCAGATTCGCTCGGTGCTCACATCTATAAAGTTGATGAACGCATACCCAACACTAATTTTACCATCAGTCAGTTCAACCCATATATAGAGAGGCACCGAGCCCCGTATTGATCAGATTACTCCTTTCTCACTTACTTGCAAACATTTCTAAAGTCTGAGGAAATCGGTCAACCCCTAGCCATGACAAATAAACCGGATGCGATAGGTGTCACTTGCCTATCCTCAAATAGAGAAAGTTATACTGAGCCTTGCTCGTTGCATCAACATATTCCTTCAGAGTTTGCTATTGTCCCTTTAGCTTACACGAAACTCGCTGATAAACTTAGATTTACTCGCCTGATCAACTTTATTCGGGATATTCCTGAGCATAACCTACAACTGGGTCAGCCTAACAGCCAGTGATAACAAGAATTTCGTCAATCCATTAGCGTACCGTTGTTCTTGTATCTAGCCCACGTTCAATACGTTCTAAATCGATTACATTCTTCCCAGGCACCTGTAGCTGGTTGTGCATGCCATCTCCTCCCTGAGATATAGTGTCCCTATAATACGGCAAGCCTTCTTCTTCGACATCCTGCGATGTCAGGGTAGGCGCCACTGAGCTCGCCAGTGGATTCATTGATCGAAGGGCCCCGTGGTCAGGATTACTAGTGGAATTTGTACCGCTGTCGTCACAACCAGCCATTAGGCCGCCACCACCAGATATCAAGTGCTTAGGGCAAACCACGTCATGCCTAAGAGGTCCATCACCCTCCAACCGGAACACAGAGTGACCGCCTCTCACTCCCAGAGAATCCCTCTCTGCGGCGGAGTGGTTTTGGGCGCTTAGCGCCTGAGGATAATCGAGCCCTTTGGCCTGGCTTTTCCCACCGTTGTTCAGGTTCTGCTCCCGATATTGCGTTATGATAGCTCGAGCCTTCGAGTCCTGGTGGCCGGTACCAGCATACCCCAGCCCCATACGGAGTCCCGCAGCGTATTGCCCATCCAGAGCATCAATTGTCTCACCGCCGTGGGTATAGTTATTAAAACAAACCAAGAAGGTTGGAGGGTGAGAGCCCTCAATTGCCGTAAACTTGCAGAGGGCTCCAAATGTGGACAGAATGTGGAAAAGCTGGCTGGAAGACCAACGCAACTGCCCTCCGGAGTATAGGACGCATGTGAGATCTGACTTATTATTGCTGGCAGTGATTCCAAAACTACCTCCTATGGAAATGTTTGCCAACTCACTTGGTCAGCCGGGGCTCCCAGCATATCTCCCCAGTACCTACTCACCATAGACACATAACCTTCAGGGCAATATTGCACGACCAGATTACCTTCCATCTGGAGTTTCTCAAATGCTCGAACCGCATCTCCCAGGTCAAAATACGAAACGACACAGAAGCCGTCCGGTAATAGATCCTTGGTATAGATCTCTCGGATGTCACCGAATTCCTTCACACCATCAGTATTCTGCGGCACCGAAAGCAAAAGCCGAGGAAGGTGGCTAACGGATAGTTTATCAAAGAGCAGCAATGAAGTTGCCCCCAAAGGAATCCCACCAATTTTGAGAATCCGACTTTCCTGATGCTCCAACGGTGGCGCTTGGGCTCTGGCCTGCGATGTACAGCTGCTCGTATTAGAAGGGCAAGTGAGCCGGTCGAGAAGATATCTTGATCTACCCAACACACGTCCAGCGAAATTCCGGCTTCCGAGAGAGGCATCATGGCAAGATGAGTTGGGAGAATTAGACATGGAACCATGATCCAGGGCAGTTACCCCGGAAATTGGATCAGGACTTTCAAAGCCCGATGTAATACTCAATGCAGCACGAAGCTTCCCCCTGAGCTCCTCCAGATCCTGAGCTTGGCGGCGAGTTATCGACTCGGTGCCACGAAATGTTAGGAGCTTCGCGGGCTGGGGCGAGTCGAGCAAGTGAGTAGGCAGTGCTCCCCAACCAGCATAATGGGCCTCGGAGGGAGAAAGAATCAGGGATGATGGTGTGCTTGTTTGGACATAATCGCCAATGGGGCTGTTCCTAGGAGTGTAAACAGTACTCTTGCTCTGAGGAGAGCTAGAGAAAAATGAATCTGGTGAGGCCATAACGGTTTGACTTAGTCTTCTTATCCCCCGAGATTGCTCAAAACCACGCGATCGGAGTTATTGCGAGATTTATTCGAGAAGGAACAATCAAGCGGAAAAAAGATGTTCACAATCAAAATTGCTCCCGGGACAAATACAATCAAAATTCAGCTTGATGGTGACCAGCGATGGGAAGGGTGGATCAAAAGGGCAGGTAAATGATTCTTGTTTTATCGGTGAGGTATCACAGGCGAAAGGAAGGGGCAGCCCTAAGGAGTGAGGCAGGGCTAAGGCGAGTGGAGATTGAGAAGGAATACTTAGAGGAAGGGGCAGGGAAGGCGATTAAAGGCAAGAGAGGGAGTGTGGAGAAGATGTGGCTCAGGAGGGTTAAGATCAGAGTGCCAGTTGGGGAATAAATTCAGGGCGGGGAACCAGAATAATACCATCAGAGGTACAAGGGCTCCAGAAGCTAGGGCAACCCAGAAACATGGAGGAAATGAGGAAAGGTAGAAAAGGGGGGTGGGGGGGGGGAAGTAGGGAATGGCGGCTTTGAGCTGACGTAGACCTATACTAGGTGCACGTTAACAAATAGTTTACGGGCATAAAATTGAGGTTTGTACTCGCAATCTTTACAAATGAAGGAGACTCCCTGAAAGCTTTCCTCCATTCTAAAGCCACCGTAGAAAAGACGCTTAACTGCGGGATCGCCGCGAGTGATTCTGAGTGATGCCACCTCCTCTTTTTTTTTCTTTTGGATACTAGACTTCGAACAACCTCTGATCTCTAGCGCCCTCTATCCGTACTACAGTTACATATATACACGCCACTCGAACCATAGTATATCTCACAAAACTTGTTACAACACCCAAGCGGGGTTCTCAGCCACAAAGTCCAGAAAAAAGCCATAGACCCGACTAACGCATCAAAACGTTAATTAGTTGCCCGGGGCACCGTCCCGCATAGTTCGAACCCCCAGCCATCATTCCCCCATCCACGGGTAGCAGTAAGCCTCCTCCGCCCGCCAAGGATTGCATATCCCTCCTCATCAAATATTAGTACAAAGCCCATCCCTTCTTCAGAATATTCCCCTATTGGCCATGTCAGACTTCCTTACAACACAGAAATCCCAGCTCTACATTTTCCCATGCAAAAGGGAGTCTCTTATGCAACGGGAACGCCCCGAAAACTCCCAATGCCTCGTTTGATAGAAGGGGAAAGCCAGGACGTTAAGTATGGTGAATTTCGAAACCAGCTAAGATATCAAACGAGGGGAAAACTGGCCGAGCAACTTGTCAATAAATCCAAAATACCGGCAAACCCAGCACGGAACGTGGGGTCCCTCAGCTGGACTGAAAGGGGTTCGTTCACATCTCGAAAGAACAGAAAAATTCTATCTGAACTCCACCTCGAACCCGCTGTGCCAGGCACCAAACCGACCTCAAAATCCTCTACCTTTCTCCTCTATATATATTCTCTCCTTCACACATTGAGCCTGCCCCCCACTATCACTTCTACCGGCAACAGATTCCTCGCAATCCCTAATACGACCCCGCTTAGTCCCTCACTGAAAAACCAGCATTCAAATCATTTCAGTGTCTGCTGACTAATATTCATTGAAACACCTGCTTCCCACTCACACTCCCTTTTCACCCATTTTAGCAAACAAGCAAAAAAAAACCTACCTTCTTGGCACCGCCCCCCCCAACCTAGTCATAAAAACCCTCCCATTCCACCACGACACCACCGACCAACTGCTTGATCCAACCTCACCCCCAAAGCGAGAAAAGAAACATGGACAACTCCACTCCAACCCCCGATTTCTCCGACTTCTCGGACAAGGACAAGAAAGACCTTCAAAGTTTCATTGAAAACGAGCAACAAAAAGCGAAGTTCCAAGCCAGTCGGATCCCCCCCCCCTCCATCACATATCCCACTAACACCATGACTACATCGCAGATGTGCACAACTTAACACACATGTGCTGGACGAAATGCATCACCGGGAAAATCTCCGGCGCGACGGTTGACCGTGGGGAGAATTCTTGCTTAGAGAATTGCGTTAATCGCTTCATCGACTCGCAGAAAACTATTGTTCGGCAGTTAGACGTTATGGGTGGGAGGGCTTAATTTGGGCTGGCCCGAAGGAGTACAGGTACTCAGAAAGTGGGAGGAGAAAAGGAATTTGAGGAGAAAAATATTTTAATACCAAGCTCTTCCATTCATTCTATTCTTTCCACTCCCCCTCCACGCTCACAAGGCTATGCGCACATACATACAAGTACATACATACAGCTTGCAGCCGGGACTTCCCGCCAAAAGCAGCCCTGGCTCTTATTGAAATAGGGAAGAAAGAGGGTTCAAGTACGTTCCGCCCCGTTTATGTGTCCAATCTACATCCATCGATCCGCCCGCCCATCCGCCCGAGCCGTTTAGCCATCTAGGCAAATATACGAGCCAAACCAGCCCCGTTAGCCTGCCAAACCAGCCGCCCACAAAAACAAAAACTACCAGCACCTGTCATCGAACGCTTCCACCCCCAGCCCCACATGGGAAGGGCAAGGGTATTGAAGGTGATAAGAGGTCGACAAAAGTGAGGTGGAAAGCCTACATACAAGAATATAGTAATAAAAAGAGTAGTAAATCAGGCATTATCAATACCGTAAGGGCCAAGCCACGATGCATAATTTGTGAGAATGGAAAAGAGAAAAAAAAAAAATATGTCAAGGGGAATTAGCAACGATAGGATTCATTTAGGAAATCATTTGTAGAGTATGTAACTTCCATTACCTCGAGAGAGAGGGTAAGGGAGGAGTAAGAGGGATAGAGAGAATGAGAGAATGAGGAGGACATAAAACGAGGAAAATATTTAACGGCAAGGAGTCACGTAAATCGTGAAGGAACGGAAAACGAGAAAGGAGAAAAAACGTATGCGAAAAAAATTATATGTCAAGAATCACCCCAAAGCACCACCGTAACCCCCAGCCATAAGAACCCCGAAACAAAACCGGATCAAAACAAGATCCAGCCCCCGTATTAAGTAAACGCCATAATCCAGAAAAACATACACTTTTCCCAACCGGACTAAGCCCAACCCTAAGCACCGCGGGTAGCAGCAACAACAGCAAGAGCGATAATAGCACCGATGACAACCAAGCCTACGGGTGCCAACATTCTATTGACCCGTCTCCACCACCGGGCATTTTGATATACCTCAACTTCCTCAGTTGTGGGGACCCTCGCACCCTCGATATCGGCAGTGTATTCAAGCCGCTGCTGATTCGACTTTGGCTCCTTCGTAATCTCAGCGTGAGGAGGAAGGGGGAGGACAGCGGCGATAATCCAACAAAAGGGAAGGACGAATCCCAGACAGAAGAGTATGAGCTGACGATTGACGCTCTCAAAGCCGGTTAAAGGGGCCTGGTCGAGATGCGGTAACGACCACATGGTGGCCGCTTCGGGGTCTCTTGTTCGAGTCCCAATCCAATCAATGCCGGGAATACTCTGCGATGATGCCATGCGTCTGGGGCCGTGGTGGGCCTGCGCCGGGGGTATCACTTCGGTGATGAGCATAGAGTCGTCGCTTAGCTGCCTCCGAATTATCGGATCAAATATCGCTATTCCGACACCTTCGTTGCCATGGGCACTTCCACTTCTTTCGGGGACGATAACACTTCCTCGACCACCTTTCTTGCCGTAGAAATACCTGATTAAAGCACGTCGAGTCAGCCCCGCTCCCTAGCCAAGCTTAAAAGCAGCCAAGGCAATCGGCCAATCAGATATCGTGAGCTGAGAAAAAAAGTAAACACACCTCGCCCATGCAGGAAACTGCCTCGCCAAAGAAGTCGGCTGGGGTTCTTGGGGAGTAACAGCGCGTCCATACAACGGACTGCTGAGGGCTCTGCCTGGAGCACTCCGGCTGCTTATCGAACGACCAACGCCCCCAGCAAACGAACTTGATTCGCTTTCACTCCCAAACTGTGCTGATCTTGAGGATATTGTTACAGACACAGATCTCCGACGACCAACAATATCGTCATACTGACCATCATCATCCGACGAGACTCCATCATCGCTGTTATTGCGAACGATTCGCAGGGTGCGGGCGTTCATTCGGGATCGCGACAAGACTGGATCATTCGGATTACTTCCCACCCATAAACTTGATTTGCGGTTGTATTCTTCAATCGTGACCGGAGGTAAAGCCGGCTCAGACGGCTTCTTGAGAATCGATTTCGGATAGCTCTGGGTGCTGGCTGCGGTAGCACTAAAGGAGCGTGTGCGCCCGGTGGCTGCGGGCTTTGAGGGCGCAACTTCTTTGTCCCTGGCGGTAGAGGCGGTAGGTGGATCTCTCGCGACGGAGGAGGAGGGCAACCTCTTGTGTATCTTGAGGGGTGCAATAGGAGGGAGGCTGTCTAGGGAGGCGGAGGGTCTCAGTCTGCCGCTCTTGTTGGTACTGGCCGTACGGGAGCTGGAGCGTGTGCTGTCCCTCGAGACTGTGGCTCTAGTTTGGGGTTTCCATGTTGAAACGTCATGTCCCTTTTGTGAAACCGAGGAGTTGTTACTTTTGGAAGACTGGACGGTACGGAGGGTATTTGTTTCGGAATCGGAACGCTGGTGCAGGGCAGCACGGCGAGGACGGTCACTCATGTCCATTAACCCCCGCCCCTTCAGGTTTCACCAAACCTTTTTCAACAACAGAACATGGAAGAGAAGGTTGAATACAGCGATAGATAAGCGAAGGAGTGGAGAATTAAGTGAAGCCGATTCGTCGCAGACCGTGGAGGAAGCAAGTGCAGGACAGAGAAAACACGGTACTCCCGGACAAGAGGTGGGCCAGTCGGATCAGTACAGATGGAAAATCCTAAATTTACGAGAAGATCAACAAATAAAGCACAAGGGTATTGGCTTATCGGTAGCAATGGCAGCAAAAGAGCAAGCGAGATTTTATCAAAGTATCAAGAGATTGTGGGAGCGGGGAAAGACCACGAACCGTTTCATGGGTATGGCGTGGCCAACCGTACAACAGAAACGGCGCCAATAGTAAAAGGAATGGCAAAGTGACGATAAGGTGCTATACGTGACGGTGATTGAAGAAGCTGGGAAAGATATAAAGCGAACAAATTAGCGAGACGGGAGAGGACAGACTGTGAAAGGCGTAAATAAATGTCAAATCGTAAAGCAGTTGAGATGAAAGTTAGAATGGAAAGCAAAGAATGGACGGGGGTTCCAGCGAGTAGATAAAAAGAGTCGCTTAAGGAGGTGGGAGCAGAAACGAATGGTAAAAAAATATAAAAATATAAAAATATAAAAAAAGAGCGTGAGGACTTAGAACAGAGAGCGTGATCCAGTTGGGTGCAGGGGAAAAGAGCGACAGCCGACAACAGCAGCAGGAGGGATTTGGTGATGGAGGGTAGGAAGGGAGGGTAAGGCAGAGATGAAGAGGGAGAAGGAGTATGTGTGTGTGTGTGTGTGCGGGAGAGAAAGGGAGAAGGGGAAAATGAGAGGAGAACGAGTGGAGGGGGGGAGCAGGAGAGTGAGTAGCGCTGGCTGCTTGTTTCCCCTATTTTTCGCCTGCTTTTTTTTAACTTTTTTTTTTCCACCATTAAATTTTCACGATTTTATAATACGTTCTTTGTCGTTTTGGAAGAGAGTGCATGCAGTATGCACGAGCAGTACCGGTATGTACTAGTACGAGTAGTATGAGTACATATTCGCTAGTACAGCACAAGTACCAGTACTGGTGCGTATGAAATCTGTGCTTGGATGGTGCAAGTATGATACTGGAACTGCACCGGTACTGGGGAACAACAAACGAACCCTTCCATCCCTTCGAACATGTAGCCATGAATGCCACCGTCATTCCGGTACAGGTGGTACTGCAGGAGGGAGAGATTCAGGGACCGCATCTTTTTCATGTCTTGATGGATCGTGGACGAATGGCGAGAGGTGGTGCATGTTCCATTGAATTGGTTCCTGCAGGAACGTCAGCATGGCGCCCACAGCTCTTAACCCATCCTGGCAGGGGAGGAGTCAGCTGGAGCCTATCCTGGTCGAGAGCACACAATCCAAGACCTGCTCAGGTCCGGGTCGGCACCCCCAGAATTGCTGCTCCCAGCGAGCCAGTGATGGCGATTCGGAGTGTCGCAACCTTGTCTCCCATGAAACCCTTGCCGGGATGAATACTGGACCAGTACCGTATTCGAGTACTCATGTCGCCGGAATTAGTCATAGGTCACGTGAATTTGTAGAAGGTTGATTAACTTGTTTTTCCTTCACACATAATGTCAACTATCGTCACATCCGAGACTGGATTGAGGAGCCCTTCTGCATATACTCTTAACATCTCTCATCTCCCTTCCACTGACTTTTTTGTCTAAGATTTCTTCTCAAACAGTATCTGGTCGAAAGAATCGGGAATTGTGGAAATTTAAGATTCAAACTACTGTTGCCCAATCCGCCGCTCGAGCATACGGAACATTCTACTGACAACAAGAACTCCAGAGGCTGCTTTGCCATTCTCCGATTTACTGATTTCTCCTACCAGAGGCTGTAATGGATACACCGATTTCGGTTCGAGGAGCTGCTTTAGCCTTGCACTTAATTGCAGGCAAAAAGTAGACAGAAATCAGCTAAATTCTGAAACTCTACCCAGATATAGTATCACTCTTTTGCCACGAAGCTATTGGGAAGACTAATACTTTACCTCCAAATTGGCAACAACCTGAAAATATTTTGTCACTCTCCCGTGATGAAGTCTACATCCTTTTTCAGCTATTAGAACCAGAACAACACAATGGTGATGAGACTGTACAAGCGCCTGGACGTCTACCGAGATCGGTAGCTGGTTCAGAGCAAGCAGAAGAGTTACGTCACAGGATTTTGCAGGATGCAGAACATCAAGATATGCCTTGGATTGATGTTACTCGAGAGACGGGACTAGATATTGCTCAATCAACATTAGAGAACGTTGTACACAAGGTTCTTGACATTTACTACTACCAAGCCAGAACAAAGCCAAGATTGAATTGTAGTACTGAGGAGAGCAGAGTAGAGTTTGCAACTTGGGCCTTGCAAAAGATTAATTGCTAAGCTTTCTTGAATTCAGAGTTGCTTTTAAATTTTAAAACTAATAGTTAAGGTATAGTAGAGCAATCTTTGTATTTACTGATGAGACATGGGTAGAGATTGGGGGAAAATGTCGACATTATTGACAGTCTCGACCACGGGGTGCCAATCCTTATGACTATGCTTGGCCAAAACAAAAGTCTACTGCTATAGTTATGTTTTGGGGAGCTATAGCTGATAGTTATAAATCTGATGGCTATATTTGGGAGAAAGAATTGGAGACGGAGAAAAAGAAGAATTATAGAATAGTGGAGGAGAAAAAAGCAAGGGATCACAGGATTGTTGATGAAAAGCACTGCTGAGCTTTGGTACCCAGTATATAAGAGTATTAACAACTTTAGGAAATTGTCTACAACATTGTCTATAGTCCTTGAACAGTTGCCAGCTGCCAATATCTATGTCCTGGTCCAGAGCAAGTATAGATAGACTGGAAAATTGGGCTTAAAGGGACTCCAGGTGGAATTGATTGGAGATGATATGGAGAATACCTCTTATACCCCTGTCTCTATCGATTTTTACAACAAATTAAGTATGCTAATCCTCACCAAGAGGTTTGGCTCACTGAAGACAGTATACCCAGTTACTATAGAACTATTACAAATATTCTATGGTGGTCAAATGAAATGGATAGTCACATTATCAATTGCTACCAATGGCCAGTAAACTTACCTGATCTGGATGAGATTGAGATTTTATGGGATGAGTTTAAAGATTCTATTGCTGTTCAAGGTCTCTTTGTTGGAACAAGCAAGACTACTACTGATAAGCTTAAGAGTATTATGACACAGGGAATGGGCAAGAGTTTCTATGGACTCTATTGAAAACTGCTGGATTGATTTCAAAAACAAATTAGAACTTGTAATTCAAAATGGAGAATGAAACAACTTCCATAGATAGTATTAACTTAAAACTATATAAAATTTCCTGAACTTTGTTTATTGTGGGACATCAAGTTGGTATTCCAGCAGTTCTGTATCTGGATATAGGACAGACCATATATAGAGGTCTTATCAGTACCATGCAGGAGCAGGCTCTACGATTCATACAAATTTCCATGATGCTACTCACCTTGATTATATATTCATTAACCTTTGCTTTTTTTATTTTACATGACCGATGACTGACTCTGGTAATATGAGTACTTGTACTGTATAAGTTAATTTCAAAAGTCTTTGGACACCGTGGTGCCAAGGCTGGTGGTACTAAGTACAATTCAAAATCTAGTATATTTAACAAAATAACTAGCTATGAAATTTGCTTCTATCTAGCCTGTTAATACATTTAACCATGGAATTTGTTACTACCCAACTATTTGATACATTCAATGATGACTCTAGAAAGCTTAGATATCGCTTTATTAATATTCTCAGCTGGAATCTGCTACCATCCCTGCTGTATTTCTTTCTTTTTACCTATACTAGTACCTCATTCATGTCTTCTGTATGTTTGTATTTGTGTTAGGCAGCAGCCAATTCTAAGTTACGTAAATCGTAACTGGGGCCAATAACGTTTCTCGGAGAGTGGTCAAGAAAGCTTGTAACAAAAGTATGTATCAAAGTATAACGAATATATTGATAAGATCTCTTCTCCGTTCGCTGAGGATTCCGAAAGCTAAGGTTAAAATTTTTTTTTTTTTTTTTGGTTTAACTTCATATATGCTTTGTTAAGGTACAAGAACCTACATGGAGCGCTAGCTATGGC